TCTGTGAATCTGTGAATCTGTGACACTGGAGGCTGGCGGTGGAGATGAAGCGCAGGCAGCTCCTGCCCAGCGCTCCCAGACGTGTGGCCGCATCCGCTGCATGGGACGAGCCCATCTCGTGCCCTGGGGCATCACCGATGCTGGGAGAAATAATGCGCACGTGTGTGGCCCCAGGGCAAGGTCGAGGACTCGAGGCCTTGGCACTGATCCTGACCTGGGCCTGAGTTGAAACTTTTAGAAAGGCTGTTGAGCTTTGGAAAAAGTCAGTGTGGGTGGGAGGCTGGAAGGCAGAGGTGCTCCTTGGGACGATGAGGATTTTGTGGTGAGAGGAAGGCTGGGGGGCTTGGGCTGATCACTGCGGGGCTCAAGGCTGCTCCCTGTTTCCGTTGGAGGGGGCTCTGTGGGACCCCCCACACAGCTGTGGAGAGGGCCCCGGCAGGGCCTGGAGGTGGCCCCAGGAACAGAAGGTGCCACGCTGCTGTACAGACCCCAACAGTCCGAGCGGGACTTTGCTGCCTCCTGTGACAGGCCTTCCGCYGTGGGAGAGCTGCCGTCTTGGGCAGGCACAGCCCGAGGCTGAGAGGGATCTGCTCCAGCGTGGAAAATGCCAAGGAGCACGAAGGGAAAGGGCCCTCCCTCCTGTTCTTAGGAGGCAGGTTCAACACTTGTTTTCCCTTTCCTGGTGGTGCAGAAGGGATGAAGATGCAGAAGGCTCAGATGATTTGCCCGACATTGCGCAAAGGCTCTGTGGCCCATGGGGGTCTCATGCGCTTGGGGCTGCAGCTCCGTTGTCTGTGGGATGCCTCCCTGCCGCCCCTCCATCGCTGGAGACACAGGGCCCGTGTCTCCACACGGCAGCGGGCCTTTCTCAGGCCCCGGGCGGGATTTGCCTCATGCTCGGYGAGGTCCCCGCGTTGCTTAGTCACTGCCCTTCGGTCGGGAATGGCCCACGCCGGGGGTGACCTTGAGAAGCGCCGCTCCAGAAGCCGGGCTGCTGCGGAAGCGCAGCCTCCACAGAGCGGGAGGGAGGGTTTCCCAGGAACAGCACCGTGCTCATGGCAGCCCTCAACCCCAGCCCACGCGGGATCAACCCTGCAGGCCAAGGGAACCCGTGTTGCCACCAGCCGCTGGGCCTGGCTTTCCCACCTGGAAGGAGGCCGGTTTGCTGGGGCATCCACGTGCACGTGGAGTSGGTCCCAGCATGGGGCCTTCCCCAGGACACAGCAGCATGGTGTGGCTGGAGGGCGCCGCACGCCTGCTGCTGCCAGGGCAGCGCTTGCAGAGGGGTCCGAGGGTCCGCACGCCCGGCGGGGGCGAGGAGCACCGGCCGGGATTCGCCGTGTCTCCCGCAGCCCGGCACTGCTTGCCGCGCCACGACTCCCACCGCGCGGCCGGCGTGTCCTCGTGCTTCGCCAGCTCCCCGGCCCGGGGGGTTTCCACGCAGGCGGGCGCGGTGTCCCGCGGGCGCGCGCGCTCGCCGTGCCGCGCCGCTGGTGTAGTGGTATCATGCAAGATTCCCATTCTTGCGACCCGGGTTCGATTCCCGGGCGGCGCAGGGAGCCTCTGTTTTTTTTTCCTCCGCCCCCCTCCGCCGCGCGCGGTKCGTGCCGGGAGCTGTAGTCCGGCGGGCGGGCAGCGGCAGCGCTCCCGGCGTGCCCCGCGGCGCGGGCAGCCATGCAGCGGCCGGCGGCGGCGGAGCGCAACAAGGGCGCCGTGCTGGAGGTGCTGCGCGGGCTCGCGCCGCCCGGCGCCGCGCGCGTGCTCGAGGTGGCGGCGGGCGCGGGGCTGCACGCGGCGCACTGCGCACGCGCACTGCCGCGCGCCGCCTGGCTGCCCTCCGACGTGGAGCCCGCCGCGCTGCGCAGGTGGGAGCGGCGGCGGGAGCGGCGGCCCGCGGGAGTCCCTGGGCAGCCCCAGCCCCGCGGGGAGCCCCGCGGGCCCCTGGCCTGGCGCTGTGTGGGACCCGGTGGGCTGTCCTCGCCGCAGAGCTTGGATGCCATCCCTAGCAGCAGGGGTCGGGACACCTCTCCCTTTCCAAGGGGTCTGGCACAGCGCCCCGTGGGGTGAAGGCGGCCTGGCGCAGCACGCTGGGGACCCTTCTCTGGCCATGGGGAAGGCGGTTCAGGAATRCTCGCGGTGCCAGGGAGTCTCTGCTCCTCCCGGGAGGCTCCGCAGGTCCCTCCCGCTCCGGAGTGGGGGGTTCAGGTGCTGTTTCTAGAGCTGYCTTCCTCGGGGCTTTTGGGAGTTATGTGCTGGTAATAAATTYCGGAGAAGGGCCCTTTCCCTAAGGCTTGGGAAGGTCGGCGCTCGCAGCCCCYGAGGTTGGGAGCCGGGCAGCGCGGTGCCACATCGGCTGGAGCCAGCGCKCCTGAGGCAGGGAGCGAGACCCCGCGTTTCCCAGGACAGCTCTCTGCTTCTCAGCTTGTTCGACTGTCCAGTCAGCCTCCCCCTCAATAAACCCAAACGATGGGAGCCTCTTGGAGGTCAGAGATCTCCAAGATCCGAGTTTCCTTGTGGTTACATGGAGCACATCAGGCAGAGCCCCGTGCTGATGTCACCACAAGCAGCTGTGGCGAGCTCMGCCCGACTCTTAGCCCCCTGAGGTGACACCGGGGAAGAGCTGCTGGCGGGTTCTGAGTTTCCATGCCGTGACCAACGTGGGAGGGACTCGGTCGGGCTGGCAGCCTTGGGCTTACACTTGGCTTCTGCCCGCAGCATCGCTGCCTTCAGAGAGGCCACACAGCTGCCCAACTTGCTGCCGCCCATCTACCTGGATGCCTCGAAGAGCTGGGAGACGTGGGGCGGCATCCAGCCTGGCACCCTGGACATYGTCGTCAACATTAACATGATGCACATCTCCGGGATGGAGTGCACAGAGGTGAGCGGAGCCCCGGGGCTGCCCAGCATCCCACTGCCCTGCTGGCCCCACCGGGCCTGCGGCTCCCAGCTGCCCCTTGGAGCCTCCCAGCGGAGGTCTCAGGCCAGCCTGCCCGGAGGGACTCTGGTGCCTTGCTGTGCCCGGCCTGCGCGCTGAGGAGGGCTCGGGGCGATGGCTCCAGGGGTCTCGGCTGCCAACTCGAAAACCCCCATTCCATCTGCAGAGTTTCTGTCCTCTTTGGCACACATCAGTCCCAGGATCCTGCCTGGGCTGATGAGGGAAACTGAGGCAGGAAGACTGGTGTGACCTCCCTGTGGTCTCGCTTCCCTGCCACAGGTCTTACCTCAAACCTGTGCAAATCCCGGGGCCGTGGTGGGTGCTGAGCTCTTGGGCTGCTTCCCACCGAGCTCTGCGTCTGTTTGGGGCAGAGCTGAGAGCTGGTGGTGATGGGGCGATACCCTGGTRCCACAGCTACATGGGGACCAGGCTGGACGTGGCTGGTGTTCTCAAGGGCCATTGCAGAGACGGATMCACTTTCATCCTCCACTCAGCTCCTTGAGAAGCCCCTGTGCACTGGGCTGCATCCTCCAGGGCTGAGGAGAGGGTTCTTGGCGGGATGTCTCTGGCTCTCTGACCTGCCTCGTGCTTCTCTCTTTCCCCAGGGCCTCTTCAAGGGAGCAGGGGTGTTGCTGAAGCCTGGGGGGGTGTTGTTCACCTATGGGGTAAGTGCCCGTCCTGCTGCTCGGCAGAGCCCTCGCTCCTTCTGCTGAGCGCTAGGTCAGCTCCGTCTTTGCATCTCCTCAGCCGTACGCCATCGGTGGGCACATCAGCCCTCAGAGCAACGTTGACTTCGACYTCAGCCTGAGGCAGAGGTAGGAGGGGAGCGAGGCCCTGCATGGCCATGGCGGGTCCCAACGATCTGCCCTGGGGTCTGCAGCGGGCGCTGTTGCCCATTCCACCCCCATGTGCCACTGTGGGAACAGGAGCGCCCTGCCCCTTGCCCTTGGCACCCAGCCTCGGGGAGCCACCAAGCATGTTCTTCCAAAAAAAGACCTCAACCAGGGGCTCCACGGCATCTGCAGGGGCATCAAATCCCCGCCGTGACGCAGAGGGCTGCTTCAGAGAGAGCCTGGGGACAAGCCGTGCGCCCTGGCCAGATACCCTGTCTGTCTGCGTGTCTGCCTGACACACGGCTCCCTTGGCAGGAATCCGGCCTGGGGCCTTCGGGACACGGACCTGCTGCAGCAGCTGGCTGAAGCCAATGGGATGTGTCTGGAGAGGATGGTGAGTGCCCCTGGGCTCTGCGGGGCTGGGGGGGACAGTATTGCTCTTAGCGTGGTCCCCAATGACCTGACCCTGGGCTCTGTGCTTCCAGGTGGACATGCCTGCCAACAACAAGTGTCTCATTTTCCGCAAGCACTGACRCGCCGACCCTCCGTGTTCTGCTTTGCTGTGGCTGCAGCATCGCACCGTTTCTGAGCGGAAGCTTTTGTACCTCTGTGCCATCCTCCCAGCAGGGCCATTCCTACATCTCCATCTTTGATGCCTTCAAACCGCCCGCGCTGTTGTTCTGGCACCAGGCTGGGGCTTCCCTGGCAGCCAGGAGCTGGACGGGAGCAGCACAGGGACAGTGCCACAGCCACCCTGGGACCAGGCTAGATCCTCTCGGGGCCCAGCTCCTGTTCCTCTCTGCAGAGCAGACCAGCTCGGGCAKGGGTGGAGGGCTCTGCCCAACAGCTTGTGGACCAGGTAGGGCATTCCACAGGGSCTTCGGGTGTGCGTGGGGCTGGCGCAAGGGGAACCTCTCTTTGGTGCCTCAGCTTCCCTCTGTACAGCAGTGAGACGCCACGTGTGGGGAAAGTGCTTTGCCGGAGGTGTCCGGAATCTCAGCCCCTTCCTAACACCAGGGAGTCTGCCAGGCTCTGTGTGGAGGTGCAGCTGCAGGCCACCTTCCCCAAGCCTGACTGGCCTCAAGTGTCCCCATCCACCTGGAGCCAGTTAGGAGAAGCAGATCTTACTCCATCCCCTGTTTTCCCAGCACTGAGATTTGGGGGGCCCTTCAGCCCTTGTCCGAACTCCCTGCACCCAGTGTCTTGCGTGGACACGCTGCAGCATGGAAGGCAGGTGGAAAGCTTGCTCCAGGAGTTATAAGCTTGCTCCTGGGGCACAGTGCACTGGCCTTGGAGGTTTTGGAGCTGTGGGAAGGTTGGAGGGCCTGGAAGACCTCCCACTCCTCTTACCCAGTCCTTTATTGATAGYGTCTTTGCTGGAAGGGTACACAGGGAGGGCACGCGGATGGATAAATTACAAGGGAGACGGGCTGGCCCAGAGCGCAGCGCGGGAGCGGGAATTACAAAATGATAAAAATTACTAAATAAAAACACTGTTMTGTGGGACCTGCCGGACTGCTGCTTCCCCCCGTCTGGAGTCTGYGGTGCTGCGTGTGGTCAGAGAGGCTTGCCTGGCTGACACCTGTGCCCGTGCGTGGGTCCGTGCTGCCCCTGCCCTCCCCTAGTCCTGGAACCTGTTCAGGAGGTCACAGGTTTTCTTCTCCATCAACTCATAGATTTTTTTCACTCGTTTGTCATTGGCTGCCCGGACATAGCTGCTGGGGTCTAGCATGGCCATTCCRTCGTGCACCTCGCCCATGATGATGAGTGGGCCATCTTCTGTGGTCATGTTGGGGCAAGGACAATTCCAGTCCATGTCGGTCAAGGTCACTTCCAGGTACTTGATGTTGAAGAACTTGAGGCCCATTTTCTCGTCCTTCAGGACGTCTTCGAGGGCAAAGCGGGCAATGCCAGAGTCCTGGTCCTCGATGATCTCCATGAGGCGTCCTACGATGGCAAAGTCACTACGGCACAAGCTCAGCACCATCTTGTTCTTCAGGCGGCAGGTCTTGCACTGCAGGTTCTTGGGGAAGGGGCACACATCCTCACAGGTCTCCTTGCTGTCAAAGTTGTTGTTGTTGCCTTCACAGCCACCATAGACAAAGGAGTGGCACTGCTTCATGAGGTGGTTGTAGGCCCAGCGGGCCTCCCAGTTCTTGCAGGGCCCTTGCACCATGGGCAGGAGGCAGGTGTGCACGGCGTTGCTCACGCAGGCCGAGCGGCACTCCTCGTACGTCTCGAAGTGGTTCTGGTTGGCCCCGCAGCCGCCATAGCGGAAGGTGAGGCAGGAGCCCTTCTTGGCGTCGAAGTGCCAGCGAACCTCGTGGCCCTCGCAGTCCCGCCGGTCGGGCTCCTTGAGGCACTCGGTGCTGGGGAAGGGCTGGGTGCTGCCCTGCCGCAGCTCCCCGCTGCCGGGCTCCCGCTTGATGACGGACAGAGGGAAGTCGGCTCGGAGAAGGCCAGCGGAGTTCCTAGCGGTGCACGTGTAGATGCCAGAGTCCTCATACTGGGCGTTGTAGATGACCAGCTGCCCGATGTTGGTGACGACCACGTTCCCGTACATCTGATCCGGCCTCATGATGAAGTTCTCCTCGTGGTCGCTCTGCTTCTCCCACGTGATGTCGGGCCGGGGCCGCCCGCTGACGTCGCAGTGGAAGCTCACCGTGCCGCCCACGTAGACAGACTGGTGGAAGGGGTTGTTGTAGAGGGCGGGGGGAATGGGCACCTCGGGGCCGGCCCCCGGCGTGGGGCGGGCCGTGGTCTCCTGGGGGACGGGGCTGGTGTTGGGCCAGGTGAAAATGTACTTGCAGGGGACCATGGTGAGGCTGATGCCCCTGATGCAGGCCTCGGCGTCCATGTAGCACTTGTTGTAGTAGGTGAGGCCGTCCGAGGCGCACGTGAAGTTGGGCTCCTTCTCGCAGCGGTCCTTGCACTTGCAGGTGGGCTGCCCATCCCAGATGTCGCAGTCGGAGCCCTGCTGGCTGCACACGAAGCTTTCGCACGAGGCTCCCTGCGCCAGCTCCAGCGGCGAGACGCTGCCGTCGGCGAAGCGGGCGGCCACGCAGCTCCGCAGCCCGCACACGTTGGTGCAGCACTTCTCAAAGCCCTCGCAGTCCTGGGCGGGGAAGAGAAGGACACACGCTAGCAGGGTCACAGCTGCTGCCCCAGCACCGGCGCCTTCTGCTCCTGCCCTGGCAGCCCTGCCAGGGTGCGCGGCTGCAGCTTCAGGGCAGCAAGGGCTGCACAGGCTGCAGGGGCTGATGTTGCCCTGGGGTAAGAGCTCATGGTTTAGGCAGGGAGGTCCCTCCTCCGGCTTTGTGCATCTCCTCAGGACCCCGCAATGGCCAGGTGGGAGGGAGGAGCGGTGCTTTTGTGGCTCTCAGCACAAACACGGTCCTCTCTTTCCTGCCCCCGCTGCTCCCCATCGCTGGCCTCGTGGGCTCCAGCTCCGAGCTGGACCTCCCAAGAGAGGCTCTGCTCTCCCCACATTGCGCCTGGCCACCACCCGCTCCAGCACGGTGAGGAGTGAGGTGCCAGAGCCCGGGGCAAGGATGTCCCATTGGCCTTTTAATGGTACAGGGCTCGCAGGGCCGGGGCCAGAGCGCTGCCCACAGCAGTGCTGCAGGGCAGGGGGCCCTGGAGCCCGGCCCGGGAGCGCAGCCAGCTGCAAAAGCAGCTCTGCCCGCGGCTTCCCCGTGCGCGTGCTGCCCTCAAGGGGAGCTGGGCTGGGGAACCTGCCCGCTCCGCGCTGCCCGTCGACACGTGGGGCTTGTTGCAGACATGAAGGGCCCAGGAGGAACTTGGTGGCTTTAATGGGAGCTATCAGGGCTGTGAGGGGATCCCGCCTTGGCTGCCTGTGGCTGTGGGTGGCCCAGAGCTCAGCCTCTCTGCAGAGGGTGGCCTGGCCCATCGGGTGCTTCTGGGCTGGGTCTGGGGCTCCCATCCATGGGGCTGTGGGGATGGTCTGATTGAGGGGGCCCCTGGCCCATCACATTGCTCACTCCGGAGGAGCCAAGGACCCTTCCATGGGAAGGCYTGGGCACCCTCGGGGCTGCACAACGGGGTGTCCTGGCCATAGGGAGCCTTTCCCAGGGCTTTGCTCTCCAGAGGAGGGATGGGGTGGGTAATTCCTTTGCCTGCTGCAGGCAGGGGCTGCGAGCAGCCCTGGGGCCCAGCTCAAGCACACCGAGAGCACCGGCAGCGGAGGAAAGCCCGGGAGTGAAKTTGCCTGGGGGATTAAAGCCCCCTCTCCATCCCTTTTGCTTCCCSCTGCCCCCCTCCCCATCCCAGCCCCATCCTGAGGCTGAGCACTTGGTCCCGCAGCACTAACCTGGGCCCAGCTTGCGGTGAACACTCACGCTGCCCTCGGTATGCTCAGGCTTGCTCGTGGCACAGGCAAGCCTTGGGCTTCCCTGCAAGCCCCAGCTGCCCTATTGCCRCATTTCTTTTTGTTAGAAAAGCTCCAATTTGGGGGGCAAGCCTGGGTATTGGGGAGAACTGGGCTCTCGCACGTGCCACGAGCCCCTGGCTCGCAGGTGGGCAYGTCCCCCTGCCAGGGCAGCGGGTGGTGGCCCCGCAGCGCCCAGCAAGCAGCGCCCAGCTCCTGGCCGCGACGCCCCGCTCACCTGGTCCGCCTGGCACTCCCGCTCGCAGGTGCTCTGCGCGTCCACCCACAGGTTGGGGTTGAGCTGGTTGGGGCACACGCCGAGGTGCCGCGCGCGGAGCGGCTGCAGGCTCAGCCCGCCGGCCGCCGCCGCCAGCCAGGGCAAGAGGAGCAGGGCGCGCATGAGCCCTGCCGGGCCGCGCCGCGGCCCCGCCGCCTGCCCCCTCAGCCTGGCGCTGCCAACGCTCCCGCAAGACATCTGGCTGCCTCGGGACCTCGTGGCGCTGGTGCCCGCTCCCGCCTGCCYGAGCCTTGCCTGGCTTCAGGAGCTCAGCAGACAACTCACATGCGGGTCGGAGGCGGGGAAGCAGGGGAAAAGAGAAGCCAGGTGAGGGGACAAAGAGGAGGAGGAGGAGGAGAGAGGTCCGAAGCGCTGCGAGCTAGCGCCTCCGGTGCGCGCTGGAGCTCCAGGGCTGATGCCCGGCGCCTTCATCCATTGCTGATGCTAAGCGTGGCCAGCAGAGACTCTCAGCGCGCTCCCGATAGCATCCCGGAGCGGTGCTGTCCTTGGCGCGCTCCCGGGCGGGCGCCTCCAGGTTGGCAGCAATGTGAGCAGCTCAGCCACCCACCAAAGTGCCGCCAGGTGCCTGCGCAAGGAGTCGGTCCGTGCAGAGCCCTCCCAGGACTTCACATCAACAGCAGGCTCAGGCCGGCGGCGCCAGGAGGGGACGCGGGCACTGGGTGCCCGGCGCAGCGCTCCTGGGCTCGCTCGCCCCGCGCAGCGAGTGGGCAGCGCAGAGGGCTGGGCTGGTGCGCGGCTGGGCCAGGGGGTTGGAAGAGGGGGACGGGAAGGTTGTAATCTGAATCCCCTCCCTTCTCACTGATGTTTCTGGGTATTTGGAATGGAAAAGGCGCTGACCTCAGCCTCTAACCCTGTCTGAGCTGATCGCCTGGGCAAACACAGGGGGAAGATCAAAGGCAGAATGCAGAAAGTCTCCAAAGAGAAAGAGGGAAAGGGGGGGGGGGGGGGGCCGGGGTGGAGGAAGGGGGGGGGGGGGGGGGGGGGGGGGGCGGGGGGGCGGGAAAAATGCCTGGCCCATGGAGCCGAATTCCTGCAGGATGAGAAAACAGCCAGAGCCTGTTGTCCCCTTGGAGCAGGCTGGGCCTGGGGTGCTGAGACACGCGTGGCCCTCCCGCAGCCCAGCTCAGCAGCTCCGGGCTTCCGTGGGCCGGGGCTGCGTGCCGGGTGCGCGGGCCAGGAGGGCGGGCATCGCCGCCCCCCTGGGCCACCCCCGCCGCTCAGCCGGGTGCCCGCCAGCCCGCGGCGGCTTCTCCACGGGCTTCTCCAGGAGAGCAGCCAGCGCTTTGCCGGCTCCCGCAGCCCAGCACAGCGGCAGCACCCATGGGAGCGCCCTGCCGCTGCCTTGCGCTGGCACCCAGGCCGCCGGCAAGGCCCAGGTTTAAGGCCTGGCTCTTGGAGCTCACGGCGCCGGGGAGCCGGTGGTGAGCGGTGCTGCGAGCTGGGCCCAGGCTGCAGTTGCCTTCCCGGCTGGTGTCCGCGCCGGAGCCAGGCCTAAGCTGGCAGGAGCCACCCTGCTCCCTGGGCAGATTTTCCTAATCCCCACTGGAGACTGACCTGCAGCAGGCTCTTTTTTTTTTTCTTTTTCTTTCTTTTTTTTTTCTTTTTTTACTGCACTTCCCAGCAGCCTGGAGAGCAT